CTTTGCTTTAGACGGAAAAAAAGTGGATAGAAATTTCGTGAAAACAAAAGAGATAATAAAGTCATGAAAAAATACGACAAGGTCGTAATTTCGAGAAATTCCAAAATATTGCTGGGTGAATTTTTCTGGTATCTTTTTATTTAAGGCTTCGACATTTTTAAGGATCTGTCACCATACAAGGTGGGCTGCGAACATTCAGCCCGGCAAGTATCTAAAACAATATAATTTGCGGTGTACATATGTATGAATGTATATTATAAATATGTATTAATCGTACAAAAACACACATATGTACACACATATACACGCAAATTTCCCTCAGATATTTTAGTTGTAAAAGTGCAAAATTACTAATCTATGACATTCACAGAATTATATTGCTTGTCATACTTGTATCTCACAATCTCTGCAAACAGCACCCCCGCGCAAATTATGAACGCAAACCCACAAAGATAGAAACCTGTTGTGACCTTGGAACTAAACTCCAATCTTGAAACCGTATCCCCCTTTGGACCTGTCCAATTAGCGTAGTGCCCCAACAGCTTTGCCGGGTGCCACATCCTATGTATTTCCTTCAAATGCGACATAATTCCAGAAGAGATAAATATTTTGAGACGCTTCTCAACGTAATCAGTTCTAATTGGTGGTAAATCCCAACCTCTAATATCTGGTTGTCTCCCTGTAAAGAAGGAATCCCCCTCTACCTGGACGTATATCTCCTTATGCCGACGGTCATTCAAAAAATTTGTAATTTCCTGAATATTTTCCTTTGTATCCATCAATGCTACTTTTCCACAGGTTTGCAAGCTTTTTATCACCCCGTAACTGTCATCTTTATCGTATTCTACCGGTTGAATGGGGAAATCGGCCAAAGTATTCCGAAATTCAGACATATTAATCACTGGTGCAGATGTCCCATTTCTTACGGGTTCTAAGTTGTCGTCCAATCCGAGATATGATTGCAGTTTTTTAAATAACTTCGCTGCAATTCTCTTGTCAGCATCAAATTTACGATTTCCGTTACGGTTCCGTACTTGATCAAAAAGCATTAGCATTTGATAGTAAAAAAATGGATATCGAGAAAAATCATCAATGTTCGCCACTTCAACACCTCCCGGGGGCGTAAAAGGCATTAGGATTCGAATCCCTTCCACTTCCATCAAACCTGTCCAAGGTGATTTGTAAACCGTGGGTATAATCATTTCCATTGTGAACAACGTTTTGTACCAATTTGTTAAAACAGTTCCTACGAAAATAGACCAAATTATGACAAGCGCATTAATCCCGAACATGGAAGATCTCTTCTTTCTAAATGAATTCTCGTAAACTGACAACGAAACTGAGTTCTCCAGCGACAACCCAACAATCACAAAGAACCCGTCGGAAATATCTCTACGAAGCATTAGGGTAAAAATTATGATAAACGTTGTAAAATATATCGCCGCATAGGTCCAAATATCTGCGTCAAATGGACTTGCTAGCTCTTTCAATAGTGTAGAATTATGTTTTACGCCGTAGCACGATACAAAGCTATACTTCTTAATATCATACATCACAAAAACGGATCCACGGGAACGGAAGGTATGCATGAACGTATATCGAAACATCTGTTCCAAGTGGTGATAAGGTATCTTTCCTACAAACCCATATGACAAAACATCTTGCAGGATCAGAAAGTTTACGAAGTTCTGAAACGAGGTAACTTCCGCTAGTCTCTGATTCGCGTGACGAGAATAACGCACACTATGAGAATCCATTTGGCCTATCAGATTACTAAGTATGGCGAAAGTTGACAAAGAGATGGTTTCTAAAGTCCAAAAATATTTGTTCAAGAGCGACACATTTTTACCCACCTGTACTAATTCGTCGAAGCAATTAGGTAGTTCACATTCTATGGTGTACCACGCTTCTGAATACTTGACTGAGTACTCCATTCTCCATTGCAATGTTTTCCGAAGGTGGTATATGTTGTGGTATTTGAACCGTAACATGGAATTATCGTTTTGGGTTGCATCAACTAGGATAAGTTCAGCTAGACAGAGATAATCGAAAACAAAGCTATCTAAAAAGTCTTCACGTTGGATATCGTGTTTCACAGCTGTCATTAGAATGAAGTAATGTGACCGCGAAGTCTTATCAATGAAGATAGGAAGACCAACAAATTTTAGATATTCTTTCTGTTTAGATAAACCAGCTAGTTCTGGAAGAATTGCAAACGTTGTCCAACAATGAGGCGACTTATTGCGTCGTCGTGACATTGAAAATTTTTCCAGAATCGTGTACCCCGTCACCAGACTTAATGCAATATCGTAAACAAGCGAAATTACTGGACCAACAGGTGGTGATTTCGATCCCCATGAAACTTTGTCTGGCGTGAATACCATGATTGTACAGTTTACAAATGGGACTAAATAATCTGTCACTTTGACGCTGACGATGTCCAATGTTGCTTGTTCAATTGTTACATTACTTACACACTGTGTTCTGAGAATTTGTGCCAGCAATACGAAAAGTAAATTACTCTTTTCTGTCTCTGTTCTGTGTTGCTAAGAAAGGACAACGGTAGCTTAAATTACTAAAATATTTGCCAAATTCTTCAAATATAAGTTGTTGAAATCAAAATAGACGTTTCCAGGAATATACATACATAAGTATATATTTCTACCGATCACGTGAGTATTCCGGTGGATATCAGTTATCTAATGGCGGAATGATAGTACGGATTTGGCACTTTATACGATTAATTACGTACTAGTATCTATCCACGGGAGATAGGCAAACCCAACGTATGTATATATCTACAGATACGTGTAGATCGTCCGGATTCAAGTCTCTGTAATCATATTATGCAATTACGGTTTATACAAACACGCCAAAAAAGCTTTGTCATAAGTGATGAACGTTTTACTGCCCACATATTTTCACTGGAAAAACAAACAAATTAAATTCATGAGTCCCAAAATGGAATAATCAAAATAATGAGTTCAAATCATGGCCCATTATTTCATAGTTATATTTTCAAACTCGAGCTCGTGCATAAATTTCGACATCCTGTCGCACCAAACCACTAATTCCATGATGTTTTTGACATCATTACATGAACGCATAAACTACTTATATTTTACATAATCATCTAATAAATTATTTGTGAAACTTCACTCACTGGGTTGAACCAATACAAAATACCCGTCTGTTAGACAACGCCTTATGTTAACTGTGCCGTGGTCCAAGTCAAGGGATGAAGGGGGAGATAAGCACTTAATTGTTCACTACTGACTTTAAAATAAACCCTCTTATACAAGAACGGGACTTTTATCTTTAGCAGTAGTATTTATTAACACACAAACGAAATGCTCTATCGCACAAAAGATATTACAAACTGATTCCTAACCAAGTATCAAATAAATTACTGGAGCACTTTTCTCCGTGACTTCCCACTACCCTGGACTACGGTGTAGTGGGGAGAGCACACTCTCTCCTGTTTTAAACACTACTACTTTCCATTCTCTCGTCCCTCATCACTGTTACGGGTGAGGTGATACATTACCCTACACATTACATACGACTTTTTTATTTTTTAGATAGACCAAATCTAATTACTTTTAAATTATTCGCATTTAACAATCCAATTAAATCACATGTAAGACCTTAGCCTATAATCCGCAACATAAATTACATACGCAACTATCATACAACATAATGAAAAGTACACTCTAACATGAAGGCAAATTTTGAACGACCAAACAGATTGACCAAAAGGTCAAGACGGTCAAGAAATTATTCACGGATTGTAGACCATCAGGCAAACTTTACATACACATAAACATGAAATTTCTACGACAAAAACTGACAAATTAATAAGAACGAATGCAATAACAATCCCAAATTCGCACATATCCATCCAGCATTTTTTCACTCACACACATAAAACTATAACTATATACTTAATTTCCAGACATTATTCATAGTAATATCTTCAAACATAAAGGTCAATTTCATACGTAAGTATCGACATCCGGTCAGACCAATCGGCTAATTCTATGTTCTTTGACATCATTACTTGAACGAATAAACTACCCACATTTTACATAAATTATTACTCATTTTTAGCGCGTATGAATGTACAAGTAATGCGGTAAACCCAAGGAAAGGTGTACTTTTCAATACAGAATGTATGAATTGAAGAGGTGCAGCTGTCTTTTAATTCGCTGTGTCGCCTCGGCTGCGTTGTAACTAATTTTTGATACTTTTATGCAAAGAAATTTTGGTTTACAGAAAACCAGCGATAAGTTTTCAGAGAGAGCGTTTGAAAGATATTTATTTCTAATTACCTTCACACAACTCTCACGAATCTCTCTTACGAACTCACTTACAAATAATCCATGCTTTATTGCAACGTTTGAGTTAAAATTGGACAATGGAGGATTGGTTGGGCAGGAAATGGTTGTTATCAATGATAACTTATCATTGAAGTTGATGAATACTTTATTAAACGAATGTTCTCCAAAGAAGTTGCGTCATACTGATATGTATGTTTAAAATTGACATAATATATTTATTTAGGATGATCTTATGTATGGTCGTCGGTTAAATTAATGAGGCCTGATGAATTTTATCGAAGAATTTATAACAAAACTGGGATGATTGATGGTGAGGAAATGAGGGAGTGTTGCCTTCACAGAAAACGAGCTTGGTTTCAAACAGGGTTCATTCCTTAGAACTTACAAAAACCCTGGAAACAAACCACAAAAACCTGCAAAAACTTCCCAAAAACCCACAAAAACCCTCTATTTAACATTACGTAATAGGGAGGTTTTTCCGAGATTTGATACCGCAAAAACCCCAACCTACACAACCCGTGGTTGAGTACCCTGCATAAGGAAGAATCAAACTTCAGTCAACTTTCCAAAAGATATTTTTTATACGCTGACTATACTTTTAAGGTAGTTTTAAAAGATGCTCATACATATAAATGAATTTCACTAATACCCAATATTTTCTTAATAAAATGTTTAATACTTATTTCATGGAAAGTTCAAATATACATGGCATATAAACCAAACGGTGTAGAAGAACACAATGAACAACTGTTACGGCGAAAATATTAATCGTTAATTAATTTTCTTGACACATGCGAAATTAATAATAGAACAGTAAACTTAAGAATTTACTCACCTAGATAACATTGTGCGTTCAAGGAGGTTAAATAAATTTCTTATTTTGATAAACTTTGTCTACTGCTCTTTCTTGATCGGTTTTATAATAGTTAATGTATGTTTGCCACGTGCCAACTTTACAAGAACCTCGACAACTTTAGCATGGCCCATCCCGAGCATGGACACCCCATCAATTTCCTGAATATGATCTCCAACGAATACTTTCAACATTAGTGGCGATTCCTCCTTAATCTTCTTTACGAAGGCGACCCCATCGCCATTATCGGTTACCGTAATCCCCAATAGTTGCCCATCTTGTTCCTTGTCAAATAACACCTCGCTCCTCTCCCCGGCCCGGTGGACAAATATGACATCGTTAACCTCAAGATTTGTCGAGAGCAATGCAGTCATGTTTACTTTGTTGGTGTTTAGGGTGCAGAATAAAATATCCGAGGGCGAAATATTGTGCGCAGCGCCCAGTTTATTGTACAAACTTTTCACAGAGTCAAACCCAGAAACTAGTTTAATGTCTCCATCTCCATCAGCCAACATGGATTGAAAAGACGAGTCTGACGATTTCGGGGCTGTTAGTGCCATGGACTTGATGAATTTGTGAAACATGGTTACCTGTTTCGGGTAAAAGCGTGAAGTTTAAAGATTTCTTATAGATCGATAGATATAGATAATTATACTAAATTTAGTTATAATATTTTTACCGGAATAAATAATACTTTGGTTTAGTCTCTCTCTTTAAATATTTTATTAATTGTCTTATTTTTATTTTATTCTGCGTGAACAATGAAATATAGGACTAACAAGCATTTCACTTACATATATTTATGGGGTACGTTAAGTTAATTGAATAACTTTTGTGTGCAATGATATGTTAAATGAGTGAATGAACTCGGGGTAATTATGAAATCCTGAGTGTCAATATTGCGATAAGATATCAACAAATTATTTGATAAGCGTCGGTCATCAATTACTGCTGATTGATTTAAAATTCGTTTGCATTACACATACGCTCACAACTTATATAACATATTCCCCAATCAATATCTATACTAACAATGCGAAGCCGTGAAGTGGTACGCTCGGATTTGAATGGGGCCAATTTTAGTCTCTTCATCAGAAAAAATAAGCGGACCCGTATTTTTGCTTTTTCGATAATGCGCGAATTTTAGCGCTTGGCGGGCATTTCAAATATTTTTCAGCCAAAACACCCGATATTCCGTACATACTTGATACGTAAAAGTGGGAATTTACATAATTTGAATTTACATAATTCTCCGATTTCCATATAAAAAAAATTAAGCATAAATTATTACAAGCTCATAATGTAACCGAGGGTTATAAAATGTCATACATTATAGTAATAAATAAACAAGTTGTTCCTGGATCTTGGGAAAGGCGAAAGTAGAACGTTCATTGTGCAAGACGACCAAATTCAAGCCATATCATCGGAACGGCACAACCTGTCAGGGCCGTATTCAGATTCGCTACTTCATTCTCTTCCCATCGACGGGTGCGAGACAATTTTGGAAAGCGCGGAAAATTTAAATATATCCCGCCCTATCGATCCCTCCCCACCACAAGATCAATTGTCACCCCCTCTGCCATCAAAAAAGGGCTTGGACGACCACGGAAATTGAACAAACCTGAAAAACCCATCATTCCAAGGAAAAAGAAACTTTATGAGGAAGCCCCAACTTCAAAAAGAATTCCAAACACACAACACGCCACGAAAAAAATCGTCTCCTCGCAAAGCAAAAATTGGAATAACTCATGTCAGAAAATGGAGCTTTGAAAATTTACAACAATCGGTTCAAATCGTGGAACTCTTTGTAGAACAGGCAGCTTTAAAGGAAACCATTAATGCGCTTATGGCTGAGAATAACGATTATGCGAAAGATTTGAGGTTGTTTTATGGTCGGTACTTTGTTAAATGCGGGTCATGATCCCAACGGGTCTGTAGTATCTGATTAGCTTTTCCACTTGTAATGAAAAAGACAATCATGTGATTTAATTCAAGTCGTGAATATTTTCTGTTAAAAAAGAAATATGGGTAATAGAAATATTATTTTGAGACGCATCTCCACCTGTTCATAAGAATTGGATCAATTTAGGACTCGATAAAATTCTGGGGTTTGGTGGAGATGTGTCTCCCACGAAAAATTATTTCTGATACCAATATTTTTTTCAAATATATCTCATAAAGAATTAAAACATAATAAAATTTAAATTCCATCCTTCATTTTATTTCGGTAAATTTAAGTTTGCTGATTTTGCTGTCTGATCCATGGGTGCTGGATTACGTATAAAAGCGCCGGCAAACTTCAATTTAACAAAATAAAATTGATATAAATTACACCAAATAATTAGAAATAAATATTATTGGAGAATGCTTGTCTAAATTGGTTATCAATAAAAGTCTTGTTTTCTAACATTTGCTTGTGCATATTTGATTCGTGACGTTTGTAAATGCAATGTCCAAATTATAGCAGTTAAAATTCAGTAAAAAAAAGATATAAGCTTCCGGCTCGTTGTCCAACTAGATCTTCAATTCTTCCAGGGTTTCTAGTATTTTGAAATAAAAAACTGTCCCGAATGCCTTAAAGAATGAAGGCGACTAGTAATTTGTTCCTATTTTCATATCCACTGTCTCAAATCATGGAACAATTTTTGAAAATTGAACTCACGCTCTGAATTGGGTCGCGTGACGTATTCTATTTCCACTTGTAAATTTGGATTGCTAAATTTTCCCATGTCGTGAAGAATACATAATCCCATTGATTCGGATGGTTCGACATATGCGGATTATTAAATGTAATTATGCCTCATAATTAATAAATGCTTCTAACATATTTAAAAAAATTTGTCAGTTGAGAAAGAATTTTTTGCGAAATAAATTAAATTAACCATCTCAGCAGATACGAAGAATTATCGTTTCATACGAAATATTCATTCGGTTATAACATATTTTTAAATAAATAAATGGTGAACCAACCTATGCACTGGTGACATATTAGGTTTAGTTAAAAATACAGTTACAAATTCTTTCAATACATATGAAACTTCCAAATCTAAAACTATTTTTGAAAATTTACCAAACAAACCTTCTCAGAATTATCGCTTACAATTCCACACTCACCTTTAGCTTGGAATGTTCTCGTCTCTTTAATACTACATAAATACGCACCAAATTCCTTAAGTAGTCAAATGTACCTTTTCCCTTCGAAAGGTGTCCACCTTTTATGCAACAAATCACATTCTCTCCTTAATTCTTGACCCTTTCCAAGAGGCATATTTCCATCTAAAAATTAAACACTCGCATAAAATGTACAGCCACTCATGAAAAAACTGGCATTCACAATTCTACTCCCACACTGGACACATCGTAAAAGCGTTAACGCTATCATTTGTAAATCATAGCCACATTTTTAAATTAAGTTTGAGTTCGCAATTACAATTATGGAACGACGTGTCAAAAGTAAGTTTTAATACGTATTTTTTAAATTAATTCAAGGCTTGAGAAGATGTAAATTGCATATTATTTAGATATAAAAAATTGGTTAAAAATTACTTTGTCTAAATAATCTAGTGTCCAATTCTTAAAGACTATGACACTAAATTAAATAAGCTTTTCAATTTGTATTTAAATCTTCTAATGTTACTGTATTTTCAACAATTTAATTTAATTTTTAATCCTTCAGGAACAATTACTGCCCGACATCCCCTTGCAACTTATAAGCCCTCATTCCTCGGATGCCGGAAAAGGGTTCATTTAACTGGCTTAAATCGTCGGCAGATCAAGAAAGCAAAAATTGAGCAAATTAAGGTTTGATTTAAATAAATAGATATGTTGCATCCTTTAATTAATTTTGTATATTATCTTACCTTACTTGATTAAGAAATAAGTAGGTATAAATTTCGATTTTAAACTATAACATATTTTCAAATTAACTTTACAGGAAACCCTCAACGACTCACGTGACGATGCTATCCAAAAAGCCTGCGACACAATATTGGCCGATTACCCTCTTCAAGATAAAGAATGGCTGGACGAAATCGCAAGGACGTGCCAAGTTTGCAAAAGCTGGTACAGAAAATTTGACGATGGTGAGTTCAATATTTTGCAATCTTTTAAAATTAAATAACAACAAATATAATATTCAAATTTTAAATTGTTCCTAATTATAATCCAACTTTTGGATGATTAAAAAAATCAAATTTAAATTTTTTCCCTTAATTTTGATAAACACAAATTTGATACAAACATAAATATATAAAAAATCTAAATCAAAATAATTCCCAATATTTCTAATTCTTCCTGCAAATTTTAAAACTCCTCGAATTTAAAATATGGAAAATTTACATGCCAAAGTAACTCATAATTTTAATTAATTAATCGTTATTTTTGCACAGCGTCCCGATGTGTCAGTTTCAACCATGGATATATAAGATGTTACCTGTGTTTCCAACCCTTCCCGTCGGTCATCCTCCTTGTGGCTCATTTAGAAAGTGACCACACCCCAGGAACTGACGACTATTCCGTTTCCTGCACATTCTGCTCAAAGTCTGTGGACTACATGAACTTGTCCAGCCACGTGATTGGGTTTCACTTGTCGGACAAATGTATCGGACGGAGGGAGAAGGAAGGACGATATCACACTAGAACCCAGGAGATCATTGAGGGAAGGTATTATTATGGCTAAGATAAGAAGGATAATTTTACTTTTGTTTACGATAAAATTTATTTATTTAATTAAATTCTAAGTAATTTAGTAGCTAATTACATGTTTCTTTATTTATTTGGAAACGGAAATATCAATATATATATATTATACCTACACTGTATTTATACATGTCGGAATTTAAAATCGTGTATTAATCAGCCTTGTTAATAAAATTATTTACTACCTTACAAATGCAACGATTTTAGGTGATACTCCGTTGCATAATTCTGTAACCATAGCAACATTGATGCTTTATGCATTGATATTATTAACGTAGTAATTATTTTAAATGGTTTAGATCATAGTTGATTAGAAAATCCGTAACATTGCTTTATATGATTATTTAGGTATGTACAATGTAAATATTTACTCAAGTTAAAATTTGCTTACTATTTCTAATACATTCAAAAATATTCACGTACTACAAAGCATTTAATTTCTATTATATTTGTGAAAAACTGAGTGGTTTGGGCAACTGAATAAATTTATTTAAGCATACTTGCAAATCGTAGATATGTAGCTGTAGCACAGGCCTTTCAGGTGAAATTACTTCTTGCCAATTTTTTTTGATGAGTGAAAATTTATTGTGATATGAAAAGCTGGGAAATCTTAATCTGCTCAAAATTACACAAATTTTAAGCCATCATACATCGAAATCGTTATAGCGCGAAAAAAACACCTTAGAATCATATTAGCCTACATACTCCATTCAGGTATTTTTGGACATTTTTGGACATGCTGTAACATGCAAATCCGATTTCTAAAAAATTACGTTGGTATGTAAATTAGAGAGGTAATTTAGTCCTCATTTACAGATGCAAAGCAATTTTTGATTGCTCGTTTAGGTTTCATAATGCTGGAGGGAATTAACGGGCGAAGCAGGGTAAAAAAATACGACTGTGTTATTAATTTTTCTAGTTAGAAATTCAAGTCTTTCAACCACGGGTGAATTTAAAGACACAAGGTTCATCCGATCATGAAACGTTACCCAAAGGCCCCCTCTGTCGCAGACAAAAGTGGTTTTGACAAAACTCAACGAGAAACCCAAAAATCTCTGCTGAAAGTAAAAAAATCGAAAAAATTGAAAAATTGAACTTTTCTCGCTACAAGTAGGTGGTACATCTGAGTGAGTCATGCCAGTATCTTGACCTGGTGTTATTATAAGACCCAATGGGTCACTCAATTCGTGGAAGTAGATGTCACGTATTGCCGACACAATTCAGGCCAAAAACGGTCCTCTGAAGCCGAGCTGAACTAACGAGACACGGTTGCAAAAATTAAAAAATATTCTCCTAACGGACGATGTGATTTCCACGGTAAAAAAAATTTCAACGGATAAAGCGGCCGAAGGTTTACGACCCTGACCCTAGACATTCCATTAGCACAAAGAAAGTCAAATATATCTCGTCATTCACCGAATGAGAAATCGTGGCGTGGAATTATTCGGTTGAAAACCCGAATTCTTAATTTTTATTGCACAATGTGTCAATGTGGGGAATACGCGGCATCCAATATGCCCTAAAGCTAGTGGTTAATTCACTGATGTCTGCTCTATTAGAAAACTACTTTTAGGCCTATCAAATGAACTCAAGTCATGTGCTTTTGACCATAGTTTGAAAACCATGACAAAATGACCAGTTTTAGAAATTTTTTCCTCTCAACTTCGGCGTTCCGCACCATTCGAATAAAATTTTTTGGTCTTTAGCATATTTTTACAGTTGAAACCCATGGTCTTCCCTACAACCATGCGAAGTTTGGAGCTCAACAAACCCTCACCTCCAAAGATATGATCAAATGATTCAAAAAAGTCGTGCGTGCCACGGTACATAGGTGTCCATCTACACTTCAGGCTCGTATTCAGTCCACAGATGGAATTTTTCCAATCCGTTTTCTGTTGTATATTACTATATACTTTGTGCATCCCGCATACAAGGAAATTTATAAATTCATCAAGTCGCCCGATAAATATTTACATAAACATATGTCCAAAAATACCTGACTAGACTATGTATATTAACTAAAGGCGAAATTTTAATTATTTTGCCAAATTCCCAAACCTGTGGGCAAATTCGACCTTTTTGGTAAATATTAGCCAAAAATAATTTTATGACTTATTTCTAACCAAATTTGACCACATTTAGACGAATCTTATGTCAAAAATCAAATTTAGCCAATTTAGCCAAAATTCGTAATGTGTAAATTTATACTTTGACGATTAGTAAAGTCGCCGGGCGACATTACTGCAATTTTACCTGTGGCTCGTTGGGCAGGTATAGCTTTTCGTGGGTATGACTTTTATTGACATACGATCAATTTAGTAACCGCCCTCATCACAGTTATAAATAAATTCTATCCTGATTTCTATAATGAACTATTTAAAAAATTGTTTCAAGTTTAAGTATACTGATGGAGTTACCAGATTGCCGATAATCAGACCAATCTTTAACTTTATATATATATTTTGTAGAATTTTCATACTAATTTAGGCCAAGGTGGTTGTTCTTGAACGGTATTATCAACGACAAAGCTGTTATCTATATCCTAAACCTTCTCCCAATTCTCCTGTAGACTCCTGTTTACTATGTTTTCACATCACAACAAGTCAATAATTATGTTTAACCTAATCTTACGGTTTCACATGGAAGTTAGTATTTTATGAGCAAACTTATTATCTGTTTTGCATTTACGTCATATTTTTATACAACTTTTCCGTCTAAATAAATACTTCATGTATTAAAATATGTTTGATTCGGGATGTATTGATTTGCATTATAAAACCCAAGTTTTAAACTCGATAATTCGCAAAGGAGTTCAGAGGAAGTTTTAATATCTTAACAATTTCTCAAGGCCTTACACACGCTATAAATTATTAATATGTTTTTGAGCAAAAATATATTGGCCATATATGTAAATAAATGAATTTTGGCTTGCTGACGTACTTTCATACATGCATTCGACCAGTAAAAAGTAATTTAATTTAAATACAAGATTGAAAGCAGATTGAAAGGATCTATAATTTATCGCTTTGCATAACTTCCCCGATATAAATTTGCGAACTAATTTTTGTGAATTGTTATCGTTTTACATTGGAGAAATCATCAACAAACAAACAAAAATAATCAGGCGGGAGGAGGGGGAAAAACTTATATAATTCCTGTAAATGAAGCCGATTTAATTAGTGAATTTATTTTACGAATTTTGCAGAATTTTAAAATAGTTTGTAGATCAAGCGTGAATACGTAGTAATATTCATAATTAAATTCGAAGGAGTTTGACGTCAGGTTTGGTAATTTGCTGAACATCAGAATTATTGTCATGATTGATAAAAACCATAAATAAATATTTTTAGGAACATAGTTTGCTTTTGTAAAAGAGTGCTCCGGGGAAACATTTTTGACCATTTTTGATCATTTTTGATCAATTTTGACCACCTTCTGCATGCTTTCTCCTCATGGTCCTTGTACTAGAACGTAAAAAGGTGGTGGTTTTGTGTAGATCGTGATTTTTATTGCACTATCAAATAAAAAGCTTGGGCTTATTTTTCTTATATTCGGAGAATAAAAATCTATGAATTTCAATATTCATTAAAACTTTACATACCCACAAAACTCTTAAACACTAAATTACCTATCTGGTGTTTAACCTTTATATGCGTAACGACGACAATTTTCGTTTAGTAAGAAATGTTTTAATTCGGGAAGACGACAATAGTTGTTCAGGAAAATTTCGACATGATGCGGGAAGAAGACAATTGTCGTTTTTCAAAGGTCATTGATTTTCACAATTTTTTCTCTTCAACCAAAAATCTGTTGTAATTTTGGGGATTTCTCCTATGCCAACCTTAGTCAAAATTATAACTTTTCTCGACCAAAATTTAGGTATTTTCTCAATATTAGCCAATGTTAAATTTTTGATTTTTCAGTTTTCTCGAATTTTGCTGAAAGTGCTTAATTTTTCCTCCCGCACCATGACCACCACATGCTTATAATGTGCCCAAGTTAGTACATTTTCTTATCATAAATCGTACTCTTTAAAAGGTTAATTTAATCCATAAAAATTCCTAAAACTCATTTTACGGCGTTTAAATCACCCAAAGAATTAGTTGATATTGCCATTTAATTGTTTGCCATGAGAAATACATTCCTATTTTTTGTCACTGAGAAATAAGGGAAGATACGTGTATTTCATGTGATTGAATTTCACGAGAAAGTGGAAAATCATGTTATCCTGTAAATACTTTATGATCATGGCAAGGAGAGGAATAAAATGCGGGCGTTTGTTAATTACGATTTAAACTATATAGTTTTAAATCTAGTGGAGTTTAAGGAAGTCATTTCTTGAAATATTTATATCTTCGAGACTTCGGATATTAAGCTATTTATAGCTTTGTGTGACGGATTTGAGACCACATTCTAACTAAATATCATTTTAAAACACATAAAGCTGTGTAATGTTTTGTGCATTTTGCATGCTTGCGCGAAAATATCGGGCGATAATTTCATACCATTTCGAATTTTTGTAAAGTTATAGATTTTGACGTCAGTTTAATGAATTTGCAAAGTATTGTTATAATTAGGGGAAGTAGATTGATAACCTAGCTATCATAATTTACGAATTTCTCTGAACAAATGTCACTCAAGGTATTTTGGGAATTTAGGCAATCATCTTAATTTTAATTGGGATCATTAAGACGATAAACCTTGAGATATTAGATTTTTAACTTCAAAATACTTATAAGAATTTTGAAACTTTTTCTGCCATTGTTCACATTAATGATATTTTGCTGTAAATCATTTAATACAGTTTTAATTTGCATATTTTTGTTAACCTTTTCCGGCTTTAAAAAAACGTTCTAAAATATACATCATGATCTGAGACTTGCATAAAATTAGGGAGGTTGAGATTTTGTGTACTTATACTTGTACTTGTACATTTAAAAAATATAAGTACAAATATCTGTATTGTAGCGAAGAGGTTGAGATTTTTGTACAAATATTTATATTTGTAGATGTAGTAGTAGATGAGGCCAGGTGAGTTTTCCTGCTTACGCACCGCAAGCTAAGACCTGGCACCAATCTCACAGTGAGACAAATAGAGCGGGTGGTTCAAATTTTTAGTATAAATGTGAACTGGAGTAGGGGGCTGATTTTTCTTGTTGTATTATATTGTAGCCTCGATGAGTCATCTTCACAATACAGATATTAGTCGAATTGAGCAGAATACACCAATCTCAACCTCTCTATTGTGTAGTATAATACTATTATTTATTCATAATCCTCAATCGTACAAACTGGAGCAGTAAATACAAGATTTTCGACACTTAAAGTGAAGTTGTATATGTTTACGTCTTGAGACATTTTTCATAAAAATATCGGGCTAGAAATTAATTTGGTGACATTTTGTACCTTTGTTAAGTTAATGGGGGTTAAAGTTTAATGTCGCTTTTATTAATTTATTAAATATCAGC